CCCTCAGTTGAGAGCTGCAGCATTTACATTTAACATGCAAAGATAATGTCACTGTAAAGGCATGCTTTCTCTCCTGAAAAGTTGCTCTAGGCAGTTTATAAAGGTTTTTAAATTATGAGAGTTACCTCTCTTCTCCATCATGAGGAGCTGGGCCCATGATAGCCAGAATAGCTCATTCTGTCTATGGATTAGTATGAAAAGACCAGTACGTTCCATGTAAAACACAGTAAAATCTGCCCAAAAATGACTTCCTACCTAGAAAGGCTGGAGGGGGCCAGAGCYTATGGTAAAACTTTTCTTAACTTATGTTGCCTGCCATCCACAACTCCAAAGGCAAAGGCCAGAGCTTTAGGCTCATTTGGGTTTTACTGCATTCCTCCTTTTGCCAGTTCACATCTGCATTTCCATCTGCTTCTAAACTTGAGAGTATAGGGAGAAGGGGACAGTGTTTTGGCCTGAAATTCCCTGTGCCTCCTTTCAGGCCCAATTTATTTCTGTTGCTGGAGATCTGAAACAGATTTGAATTCTCAGCAGGTATTTTTTTCTCTTAAAAAAAAAAAAAAAATCAGGCTTCCTCCATTCAGAAGTGATTCTTTTAATAAAAACTGCATAAATCAATACATCAAGTCCAAGGCATTAGTATTGCTGAAAATGACTGCATAGGCACCATAGCATGTTTTCCAAGTGAGAAGGCAGAAGTTTAAAAATAAAGATGAAAATTCTCAAACATGACTGTCTGTAGATTGGCTTTTAAATTCACATTTATTCCATGTTCCAAATTCCTTTGAAGTCAGTGGAAGGCTTCCACTAACTTTAACAGACGTTCACTCAAAGGGAGATAGAAATAGCAGAGCAAACTGATACAGGAACACCCGTCCCGGGCGTGCTGGAAATACTRTTGAAAGCCACAAGAGGCAACAAGGTGAAGTCTCTCATCGTGTTGTCTGGTTGTACTTTTCTTTTTCTGTATGATCTTGGGCCTGTCACTTCTTTCTGGACTTGAGCGAGGAAAAGGTTTCTCATCTCTCAGTATTATTCAAGGTAAAGAGACCGAAAAAGATCTCCATTTCAGATGAAGGCACAGAAAAGTTCATTTTTAGAAACTGAAGCACTGGTAGATGAGTGGAAATACTTCTTTTAAATGAGTTCATGTTTTCATTTCAATTTCTGATTTTTCCAGATTTTATTTTTAACCCAGGATGACTCTAGGTTTTGAAACAAAACATCTTTTAGAACACTATGAGAGAAATACCMGATACTTGTTTTCTTTCAAGAATGTTGAAGGGAATAGTTGGGCTATTTGGAAACTSTTCTCCCAACATTTTTTCCAAACACCAAAGTAGTCTTAAAATCAACCCTGCTCCKTTCGGTAAGTCAGCATTTCTGAAGGGAAAGTCAGAAAGGGGAGTTGTGGTGGTAAATCCTGCCGAGACCTCCATCTCTCTGCCTTTCTTCCTGCCTATAAAATGGATCCCTCAGACAGTTGCCTCTCTGGGCACATTGACTTTTACAGGGTTGCGTGTTGTTTCTCCTTTGAAACATCATTGGATGTTTCCTCAGGCAATCGAGGACTTYACTTAGACATTCAAAGGACCATTGGTCAACCCATATTGAAAACCTTGCTCTGAGTGCAGCCACACTAATGTTTATCCTTCCTGCTGCCTGTTACCATTTGACATTGGTGCTTGGTGTTCACGATCAGGGGATTGAATCAGACCAGTTTTATTATTGAGAATGATCCCAGTGCTGTTTATCCACTTTTGAATAATAGTTTTCAAAAGTTTTCCTCTGAGTAATAGTTTTCAAGAGTTTTTCTCTTCCTAAAAGCACTAGTGACTGCTTCTTTGTGTAGTTAAACCAATTTACTTTTCTTTCGTGAGCACCTTATGCAGGCCTTCTGTGAAGAAAGAGGACCTGTTCATCCATAGCACCATTTGGGGTCATAGCTTTCCCCGAAAAACCACCAGAGCTGAGACCATTGTGAAGAACATAAGCCCAGCCTATTGGAGCTGCTGTCAAGCRTTAGATACAGCCCGTGGTACGTGGAGGATCTAAATTAGAGCGGACACTAACRCGATGCATATTACTCGTTTTGTGCTGGAAGGGTCCCAGGCCAGCTTGCAAATCTGACAGCTTCCAGCAGAGTTTTACATGGGGAAAAAAATATGTACTTGTATGCGCTGGGGAAGGGTGCCCACGTTGGCTGCACCAGCCAAATCAAGGTTTCTGTTGGACACGAGGACTTCTTCCCCCTGCAAATTAATGACGACCAATAGCTGAACCAGCACTGTAGACATAAATCACTGGGAGAACAGCGAGAAATGAGTACAAGGCTTTTCTTTCTATTTAGTAATTTATCAAGGGAAGTGGCACATTAATAAACAGATCTCCCTTGAGGTGTGGGAGTAACAGAGATAAATATGACTGTCAAATCTGGCCTGCTTCCTTCTGTTCGAAAAGGAGGAGACTGTGGGAATGCAAATGCAGAAAACAATATCTGTAGCTGGAAAGATGTATATTAATTGTAGAATGAAAAACACTGACAACTCAGCTACGATGGGGCCCATCGTATGAGGCGCAGTATGTACAGAGTAAGACACAAACTGTCTCAGGGAATGTGTCTAAATAGATTGGTGGACCCAGAAACTAGAAGCAACTTATTCAAGGTCATAGGTCTAGGGAGGACAGGGAACAAGACCCAGGTCTCCCCAGGTCTTGCCCATGTACTGAATCAAGATGCCTTTTGGCCAGGGTAAACAAAAAGGCAAGTTTAATTACTTAGGATCAAACACATTAATATGTTACAGACTTTGTGTGGTTTCCAGCATTATGATATGGACCCAAACCAGAGCTAAACTGAATTTCTAAACTTTAAGTTGCTTTGTTTGAGGGTCTGGCAGGGCCCATGTYTCATGAACCAGGTGGCAGATTTGGGAATGCTCCAGTTCAACCTTTACTTAGGGAGGCCGGCCTCGCTTAGGGAGTTCATTTGCTCCTTCTTTTCTTGCTTCCATAATGCCTCTGCAGAACTGCTGCTCCTTTCCCAGCTCCCAAGAGAAGCACCACTCACCACGGCAGAACAGGACTGGAAACTGCCAACCTCAAGCATTAGAAAAATGTGAGTCCAGCCCCTACAAATTATGGGACAGGGTTAACAGTCTGGAGAGACTTTTTATTTCCTTTTAACAGACGGTTGTCTGCTCTCTCGTGTTTGCCGTCTGCTTCAGGAGTCTTCCAAGTCACGTGTTCAAGGTTCTCCCTGCCCTGTGAGGCTGCAAAATGCAGTTATTATGCAAAATACTGCAGGAAAACAAGTGTTCAGTGCATACACAACACCCTGGGAGAAATTCCCAGTAGTGTCGGCCTTGCAGTGAAGTTTGGAAGCTAGCAGCTCTTGAAGCCTTTTAGATCCAGGACAATAGTCACAAGAGTGCTTGGTTCAAGTGTTAACTTAGCCTTGGACTTTCAGCTTGACCTCGGGCAAGTCATGTAAGGAGTATGGTAAAGGACATTATAGGCAGCAGGGCAACAGTGATACTAAACCCCATTAATTAAACCATACTCAGACATGGTAATGACAGAGCCCTCCAGTACACAGATGAGTCATGGACACTAGGAGACTGAAATCCAGCCACCAGTCTCAGGGAAATGTTGACACAAACGTCAGCGAGCCAACACAAATGGAGGAGCTAATTGGTCACGCTGGCAGGGTATATTTTACCTCCTTGTACATCCCATTCACCCCCTCTCTTGTCAGCACCGTCTGTGGGACAGGAAGCTCATGCGCTTGCAAAGGGCTGGGCTCGTGTTTGGTGAGAGGCGACCAACAGTGATAACCATCTAGAGGGACGGAACTCCTATTGCCCTCTTGGGAAGGTGCTGGTTACTTCAGGTCTTTAATAGAGTATACCTACAGCAATCCTGCAGGGCAGCTTTCCCAGGAGATCACCACTGGGAAAGCCAGGTGGTAACGTGGTGCTGAGCTCACCGAGGGAAGGAGCTTGAGGAGCTGAGTGCTCTGGATGCTCAGGTGGATCATCAGCAGTCGAGTGTGGAGCAGCAGGGGAGTGAATGGCCAAGGGGCATATTTTACCAATAGACTTTTTTTTTTTTTTCCTATATATGACCCATTACATGAAAGCTGCTTTGGAGAGACAAGCAGATCCAAATGTGACTAGGGCTCAGGCAGGCTTTGGATCCGATGCTYTAATATTGGGGAATGTTGTGATATGAACCCCAGGTTGTGCCATCCTGCTGGTTTGCAGGTGCTTTAGGCCAGGGCAGAATTTCCCCGTGATGAAGTCACTTGTTCCAGTTAGCAGTGCTGAAAGGCAGGGGGAAGCCAAATTAGTGCTGTAGTAATTTGCTGTAGTAATTTGCTGTGTATTCGAGATGCACAAACAGGACGGGCAGAGCTGGGAATGACTTCATGCCTGCATGATTGACGGTTGTTAATAAGGTCCAGGCAGCAGCCGGTCCCCTTGGAGGGGAAGAGCTTGAACTTTGTGCCTGAGCTGCCAAATTGGTTTTCTTAAAGCTCTTAATTTGCCTTGGGGGCTGCCGGGCCCCGCCGCCGTGGGGAATTGGACGGCGGGCGCTGCGCCAGCGCCCCTGCGTTTCCCCTCRCGTGCGGGCCCCGCGCTTCGGCCCCTCTGCCATCCCGCTCCTCTCGCCAGCGAGAGCGGCCCTGCTTGACGGAGCCTTTGGGGGCTTTTCTYCTTTAATTTTTAGTTAATTTAGTGCTGGTGAAAGGGGGTGATTGGCAGCCCTGTGTTTAGCCTCCATGGAGCAGGAAGCAGGCGAGTGTCAGTGCAGCCTGAGCCGTGTCGCTCAGCGCTGCCCAGAGGGGAAATCTCTGATCCAAGTGCAGCTGATCCCTGCTCCACTCCCGCTCCCTATCCTGCCCCATGTGGTTGGCATCACCCTTCCCAGCAGCCACGCCACCACACCGATGACGTGACAAAGCTCATGCCGCTCTTTCCCCACTCTCGTTCCTACAGTGTCCCGGTTTTCAAGCCCACGGGTGACTCCGAGATTGAGCCGCAAGCGAGCCCTCTCCATCTCCCCGCTCTCCGATGCCAGCATCGACCTTCAGACGATGATCAGGACCTCCCCAAACTCGCTCGTGGCCTACATTAATAACTCCCGGAGCAGCTCGGCAGCAAGCGGCTCCTACGGCCATTTATCTGCAGGGACGATAAGGTAAAGCCTCTGGAGCAGCCACGATCAGCCCAGCAACACAACCAAAACTCAGCAAGGAAAACACTTGCTCTCTGCCCCATCTCTGAAACCTCTGGGTTTGTACGCTGGGCTTGTGTCACATGTTAAACCAAAGCCCCCCATCTGGTTTTATGAATGTGGAAGGAGACTTTGGAGAATCAGGGTTTTCTTTTTTGCCAGATGGAAATTTGGGTTACCAGATTTCTAGTAGTTAGAGAATGGTTGTGTCTCCTCACAAGCAGACTTGTAAATTAAGTTCATCTAATAAAATGTGCTCTGTAGATGATTCAGCTGATAAATCCTCTAATTTAAGAGATTGCCTCGAAGTATTCTCCAAATCATTGGCCACATTTATTATAAATAAATAAATAAATTTTTGCCAGGATGGATTTAAGAGCCGAATTATAAAAGGATATTAAAAAAAAAATAAATAAATAAACCCTTGAGTAAAATTTTGCTCAAATCTTAATTAAAAGCACTTATATTAGGCAGCTCACTGTTTTCAATTCCTGCATGATTGCTTAACCCAAGTTTCACAATGTTATTATTCTTTTTATTACTTAACAGTTAAATATGTTAGTTATAATTTATACTGTTTTTGCAAAGCAAGGACTTATAAAGATTGTAAACTCCTAGAATTTGTAGGGGAAAACAGAGACATTTCTATTGGTAATTGTTATGTTAATTTATCAGTTGCTATATCTGCATCATCATTTAGAAATTGACTGTAATATCTCACATAATGTTTCAAAGAAATTGATGCTCCCTGTCTGCACATTTCTCTTCCCCTGTTGTCTCTGTCSCTAACTGGGCACACCTGCAGCATCTCATCTTGTACTGAGGTTTCAACCTCTTTAGGCTAGAAACTGGTATTTTTAATGTCTCTGTAAATTACAGATTCTGACCTAACGGTCAGTTGGAGGCTTCTAAGGATGTAATAAAATCATAGTAATGAATTGAAACTCTTTGTTGTGTTTTAAAGGTACATCTTAAATGTCAACTATTTTAAAATGTGTCACATATATAAGTTGAGGATAACTGTTAGCAATTTATGGTGAAAAGACTTTTTTTTTTAATTTTATTTTAACAGTGCATTTCTGACAGGAATTAAAGTGGCAGGCCCTGTTCTCAGCCCCTCAGACCCAGATTATAGCTGTGCAGCAGCCTCCGCTCAGATCTCCTTCTGCTGKAGCACATATTTAACCTCTAGAGCTCCTTAAAATTGGAGTGATTTTTTGCTCCTTCTTCTTTTAGTTGTCTTCAAGTTGTCATTGTCTGGTTAGGAATAGAAGTACTAGTTGTATGGTCATCAGCARTAAGTATTTTCTCTTAAAGCAGAATTGAAAATGGAGTATATTGTTAATTTTGGCCCTGTTTTTTGAACCCTTACACTGTGAGCAGTTCTGGTGACGTGAGAGAAAACACCATGAAGATAAGGGTTCACAGCAGCTGAATTTCAGAGGTKCCAAATAGACTCTCAGACTATAGACTGAAAGCAGGGAGTTTTATAAGACTGAGAGTCTATAGTCTGTGTATGTCACTTGTACAGTAAAGGGAACAAAGCATACTTATATCTTCAGGGGTTCTCTGTGAAGGGAAGCTACTCCTGGGAGTTAAAATTCTTCTCACAGTAACCTGTGCTTTGCCTTTATGCTGTGAGCTGCCTCATCCCAGCTTGATCCTGTTGTCTTTGGTTTGTGCCCAAGTCACCGAGAGCTGACCAGATAGGAGCCAAACTGGTGACCTGCATGTGAAAGGTGACATATTTTAGTGGTTGCGTGAGTCAGCTCTCTGCTCACCTGAGTGCAGACTAAAATACCTGTTTGGGAGTATGTAAAATTGATTGTTRTTCATCCCTGCTGTGAGCTGTGCCAGGTGAGCCAGCCAATGCGGTTTTATTTTATGCTGGAGGTAGCACAACCCTAACCTCAAGAGTCTGCAAATTAGGCCTGCCTGGGGGAGACCTGGGAGCCATGAGGGTTGTAGAGCGAGATGCCGGTCCCTATTCTGCACTTATGACAGGGGATTTGGATGATTTTACCCATTGGAAGCAAAAAAAAAAAAAAATTACGGTCAGTCTATATGTGGGTCAAAGCGATTCACAAGCTTGGTGAGTGTGCATGAGACAAATCCCATCTTTGCGTTGAAAGAGACTGTCAGGCTTACCATGGCATTACAGGCACCTTGCTGGCATATTGCACCCTGTGTCCTGGAGTCCCCAGGACGTCCTGGCCAAACTTGGCAATCAATCACTAGCCAATGTGATAAACGTTGTTTAAAGTAACTCCTCCGCATTTTTCCTCCTCTCCCTCTTGCAGCCCCGCGTTCAGCTTTCCGCACCCCATTAACCCAGTGACGTACCAGCAAATCCTGAACCAGCAGAGAGGCCTGAGCTCAGCCTTTGGCCACACTCCGCCTCTGATCCAGCCGTCTCCCACGTTCGCCCCGCGGCAGCACATGGCCGTCATCTCGGTGAACCCACCAGCAGCTCCGATCAGCAGCAACAGCAACTGYGTCTCGGACTCCAGTCAGGTACGGGCCAACTGTGCGTTCCTGCTGGGATTGTGCCCTGTGCGGGGCCCAGCTCTTCCCTGGGCATGGCCTGCATGGAAGCAGAGAGGGGCTCTCCATGGGGTGAGGGCTGCCCTTGTTGGTGGCTGAACTTTCTCTGGTTTTACCCATAGTTTATCTGTCTTTTCAGTCATGTTCTCTCTTCATGTGACATATTCTTCATCCTGACAAAACAATTTGGGGCTTGTAAAGACAAATGTTACTCACTTCTTGAACACACACATGAACGTATCTGTGCAAAAAACAAGGTCCTTGCTCCATCAAAGCACTTAACGTGATATGCAGGATCACCTCCGGCAGCAAATCTCCTTGAACACATGTTAAGTACTATTGAAATCAATGGGATTGAGCAGGGGCTGAAGTGCTTTGCTAGATAAGCACTCGAGCACTGTGCATCAAGCTTAGTCAGTTCATTCACCCACCCTTTCTTTTTTCCTGCTGATGTAAACCATATTGGTCATTTTAAAATACCTTATTCCTTTCCTCATTAGCAAATCATTGTGTCCTCTAAGCATTTCAAGTACTGTTCCTTATTCTCTTACAGTAATCACATTGTCAGATGACTTTCTCTCTTGTATTATCCTTGTTGACGGTTTTTGCTATTAAGTTTTGCAGAACAAGAGGTTGGGTTTGGAAAATTAGAAGTGCTACATTTATATGAAACCTCAGCTATATCCATGCAAATACTTGTGCATTCACACATATACATGCATGCACACACACTCTGAGGGTTAGTGAATATATCTAGTGTGTTTTTAATCACTTTCCCTCCCATTTGCATTCCTTGGAAGTTTAAATTGCAATTGCTTTTCTCCCAAAAGACTTRCTTCACCTCATTTCACATCCATTTCAAATTGTTGTTTTAGTTGTATTATACTGARCTTTCCAGACTGCTGTGTTGTTTTAGGGTTTCTCATGGCTGCTGCTCTGCAAACTCTGTTTGTTATTGAAGGCTATTTGATTGATTGGTTTTTGTTTTCTTCTCACAAACTGGCTACCAAAATAATGTGGCTGGCAGGAGTTTTGCCTCTGTTTAATTACTTGCATGACCAATCTTGATCAATTAACGAGAACACATTTAAAATGYTAATGTTCCAATTTTTAGACAGATACAATTGAATGTTTTTTCTCTTTAAGTCGTTCTCATTTTTTAAGAGCTTAGCAAAATATACATACCCTTTCCTGCAGCCAGCATGAAGGAGCCCTCACATGTAACCAGAACCCTCCTCTCCCCGCGATGCTCATTTTCTCAGCAAGTCATTTCAGCGCATGGAGAAACACAGTCGTGGCCTGGGTGGGGCTTGCACAATATTTTGATGAATTTGACAGGGACTGGGTAGCTCTGAAACAGAGGAGAAGCTGCGAGGCAAGCACAGTGCTGAGCACACCAAAGCTGCCCATGCCCTTTGTTCTTGCCTTTCTGGCCCACTCTCTGCCATGCACAAATGCAGGGCACATTTGTCTCCCAGACATGGGCTAGCTTTTGCCTCACACCCCGGACCAGCAGTGCACCATTGCCCTCGGCCACTCTGGATGCTCATTCTTGGCTCCTTTTTTGGGGAACTCCTAACTTCTCTCTTGGTTTTTCCTTCCTAGAGCAAGCAGAGCAGTGAGTCGGCCGTGAGCAGCACAGTCAATCCCGTGATTAACAAGCGCAGCAAAGTCAAGACTGAAGTTGAGGGCTTGCCACCAGTGTCCCCAACCACACAGGTAACCTTTTTGGAGCAAGTCATGCTGTGGACTTCAGGAACACGTTTTGCTGCACTTGGGAGCAAGGCATCCCATGTCTGCAGGGCAGGCAAGAGCTTCTGGGTCTGGGAAGCCCTGCCAAGGTGCAGGGCAGAGTTTCAGTGGATGAGGGCMGCACTCGGTGGGTGCTTGGGCCTTGCCTTGCTTTTGCTGTGCTTGGGAAGACAGAAAGAAAAAGGGAATATTTCAAGTGTGACAACTCTAAAAATGACATCCGAGCTTTCCTACTTTGCAAAGCAAGCAGTACTGGTGTCTCAGAGCAAACATAGATTACAGGGGAATCTTGTATGTAGGTAAAAAGCTTGTTAAAAAAAAAAAAAAAAAAAGAAGAGATTTCTTCATTCAACAAGGAATTGCTTCTAACAACATTCTTTACACTGGTGACACAACATTGACACCAAGAAAGGCCCAAAGGCCTTTGCTTTCTTTCTGGAGCTCTGTGATTGCAAACTGTTTAATAGCTGACAGTATCCATCTGACTGTCCTTTATCACAACTGTAAACTATCAGGAGTGCTCTGGGCACTTCATTTTCATGAAATATTAGGCCCTGTTATTGTCAAGCGAATGGAAGAGTTGATGACAAATTTCTCCTCCTGCCCTGGTTCAGGAGCAGGTCTCGGCATGATGCATGGGGACAGCAACATGTGCAGTCATCAGGGGGCTGGTAAAATTGATGAAGATAGCATATCAGGGGAAGATAAACATGCTGTAGTCAGCACGATTAGGGCAAAGAGGCATCTCTCTGGAGCTTTGAGTTTAGGAGTGCAGCTATGCAGTGCTGCAAACACACATGCCCTGAAAAGCCAATCTGGCCACAACCCAGGCTGGTATCGCCACATGTTCATTTCTTGTAGCAGCTGGAAAATAAAAAAATCTGGGAGCTGTCACCTGCTTTYTCTACTCTCCGCAGCACAGGAGCTGTGGGAGGAGCAGCTTGATGGCCCTTGTCCTCCTTGTCTCTGGGTTGGGAGAGGTGTGTGCCCAGGAGCAGGGAATGCTTCGGACATCAGGACACAGCAGGGATGCAGGGTGCAGCATCAGCCTGGGCCTCCTGCACAGCCCAGCCTCCGTATTTTATGTGAAATAAGGGCCAAAAGRGGGGAATAACTTGAAGTGGTGCAAGGAGATTTGATTAGACTAACGAGGTGAAATTAAGAAGAGGAAAATGTAAGCCGGTTGTCTCATAGTTCCTAATGTGGAGTAGTACCAAAAGGAGAACATAGGCTTCCCGTCTCACAGCGTTTCTGTAYTGACTGCAGGTGATTTTGGGAAGCACCTTGTAAGACACAGTCCGTTCTCGGGTGAGAGCACAGGGTGAAAGACTGAATGGAGCAGAGCAGTCTGCTGTTCACCTGAGTAGTGGCAACAATCAGTGCAGATTCAGATTAACCCAAACTAGCCAGAGATGAAACATTTTAATTCTCTTCTGCAAATAAAATGTTTCAATTCCTTTTTTTTTTTTTTTTTTTTTTTAGGTAGAAAAATGTTGGCAAAATTAATTTTGCAGTAGAAAACTGTAGTTTTCCCAGAGACCAGATTTTGTGTGGAGATAAACATTTCTTCAAAAGTAATATTCACAGCTGCACCATGTAGAAGCCTCAGGAAAGTTCTGCTTGAACTTTCTCAAGCTCCAATATGCTTCGAATCTCCAGAAATCCTCCCTTAAATTACTATRTTTTCCTGTCCCAGGAGCCAACTTACATTTTTTTTTTAATTAAGAGCTAATTAAAACAAATCTCTTTCTCTCCATATCCAAACTGTTGAATTGAGAAGTCACATSTGGCATGCCTATCATGAGCTGGTTAATGAAAATCATTGAACCTTCCTGCAGCACATCTTACTTTCCAAAGCATGTAATACCTTTAAGTCATTAGTTATTGCTGACTCTCCATAGGTGTTGGGAAGATGCTGGAGGGGAAGGAGATGGTGGCCAGATAGGTTGATCCGGGAGGGTCAGAGATGGTTTGAGTTGGGTCTGGTTCTGGCTAAATACTCATGGGGGCCACCTGGGGTGTCAGATCAAGAGAAAAATACCATCTGTGTTCAGTCACCTTGTGTGAAGCTGTCTCCAAGATGGGAAACTCTGTGCTGGCAGTGATGGCAACTGGGAGGAAAGGGAAGGTAGAGGGTCAAAGGCTGCAGGTTCTTGTCTTGCTGGATTCCCAGGTCAGTGTTGGCTGCTGGCTGCCTTGGGCGCTGCTGCCCTGTCTGTGCATAAGCAGCTGTGACCCAGGCCCAGCTAATTCCTGTCCTTCCTGCTGAATTGTTCTTGCTTGCCGTTCTGTTACGTGTTGCAGCACTGCCCAGGTGTCAGTGCTTGAATCCTCCAAGCTGCCAAGTCAGGTAAAAAACGTGTGCTGCCTTTAACACTAACCCAGAGAAGTTAAGGAGGGAGATAACAGGGTCCCCATGTAAAGCTCGTGTATGAAAATCTTTGTGGGCTCCAGACTGGAGCCAGAGCATCGAGCTCTGCTCTGCAGTGTGCTCATCAGGTGATCTTTCCCAAATGCACTGATCTCAGAGGGCCTTGAGGGCCCTTTGCTTTCTCCCTGTGGAGCACCCTGCACTTGCAAACCGCTGGGTAAGGCCTAGGCATGTTTTCTGGCCTATTAAAAGATGAAAAAGTAGCCCTCTCTTGCCCATGTCAGGTGAAGTTTGACCACTAAACTCTGGCACCTCTGGAGTTTCTTCATGCTTGTACTTCCCCATTCCCCCCAGCTCAGAGATTTTGCTCCAGCTTTGCCAGGCAGCCTTTTCCTGCTCTCCAGGCAGTGTCACCCAGAGTCCTTCCAGTGTGTGCCCGTGACCTGGCTGGAGCCAGGCGCCACTGCCACCGCAGCTTGGGGGTGTCTCGTGTCTTGTCATTAGCTCTGATGCGTCTCTTCCAAGCTCTGTAACTCATTAGTTCACTGTAATCAAGGATGTTATATTGCCACACTGAGTGCACTTTTGTGATCAGTTGATACCTGCCCTGTAATCTGAGTGACAGAGGAATTCAGATGAAACAAGCTCACCTTATACAATGTGCTGTTGTGTGTTGCAGGAGCATCTGACAGACCTGAAAGAAGATCTCGATAAGGATGAATGTAAACAGGAGCCTGAGGTTATTTATGAGACGAACTGTCACTGGGAAGGGTGCACAAAGGAATATGACACTCAAGAGCAGCTCGTCCATGTGAGTAATGGTCGGGAGGAAACCCCAGCGATAAATCTGGATTTCTGTGCACTTGTCCTCATTTTTTATCACTAGCTGCTGTGCAGCCAGCGCTCACTCTGGGAGCCACTAAAGGTGCAAATCAGAGATACGATGTGTAAACACTGCCAAAGCAGGTCGCTGTTCCCCAAGGAGTTTAGGCTCAGGAAGCCTCTCATAGATTATTTGATGTCATTCTCATCTCACCTGCTGAGGCTGCAGTTTTGGTCTCCCTTGTGCRTAACCCAGTAGAAGAGGACTCCTTGCAGGGGACCTAATTGGAAAATGGTACAGAGGCTGAGCTCTTTGCCCTTCTTTGACCATATTCACTGAGCTACCCCACATACCCACACAAGCTGTGGGCCAGGGGTGACCAGACAGTCCTCAGTTCTTGGCCAGACCACAAAAGCCTTTTACACTGCTCTGGCATGAGCTGTTCTGGCCGTATCACCTAGGGGCTGCCAACCTCCTRCCCCAGAGTCAGAAACTGGGCACTTCTAGAGCCTGGAGGCATGTGCCAGTGGCTCCCACAGGGCAGAGAATACAGAAAGTGGGTTGATTTAAAAAAAAAAAATGAAAAATAACTCTTCCATAATCATAGTGATGTCCCCAAACCAGCGTCAAGACTGCAGTTCTGATTAATTCCAAGAGCCTTCTGTGTGTTTTGATTCACCTGGGGATTTGTCATGTGGTTTCCTTTCGTTTCTGGGCRTGATGGACCGTGCAAACACGGAGCACATATCTGAGAGTTCAGACGTGGTCAGTGTGTGAGCCCATTCCCTCCCCAGCCCAGYCCCTTCCGAGACCTCAGCTTGCATCTGTGATACCCTGTTCGAAGCCAGCCCGGGGTCTCTGGGAAGTCACCAACCTCTGCAGTCCTCCCAGAGGATCCAGGATGCAGCAAACTGCCAGGCCGAGCAAGTTTTGTGACAGGAGTCAGTGTCTTGCTCTTTCTCTTTGGCCTTTGGCTGCCCTGCTGTAGCTTGGCCCAGAGCTCCCCAGAGCCCTCGCTGTGCAGTTCCCTGGTCCAGGGGCCCTTGGTGAAGGACACACACACAGAGCAATGAGGGGCTGGAGTCTGAATTAGGAAAGACCCTCTTTCTGAAACACTACAAAGCTCACGTCTGCTCCCACCCTATATGTATCTTCATTTTACTGTAGTTCATGTTTAGAGGCCACCAAGGAGGCATCTATCTCTGTTCTTCCAAGCTCTGCACCTGACACCTTAGCCCGAAGAGACGGTGCTCCGAGTGATCCGAGTTTGGGGCATTTGCTCTTAAATCTAAGACTGGCACTTGGCCAGCCTCTGCCAGAAGTCAGTGGTTCAATTTAACAAGTCCTGAGCATAGGGAGGCTTTGGGCCAAATTTTGAGGGCCAAATGCATGAGAGGAGTTTAAAAAGCGAAGGCTGCATGAGGTTCACAGGACGTTGCTTTATTGAAAGTAAACGCCAGCGGCCCCGGTGGAGGGGCTGGTGTCACGTTTGTCCAGCAGTATTTGTGTTGCTTTTTCCTCTCAGATGTAAGAAAATCCCCTTAACTCAGCACAAAGCGAAATGCAGGGCAGATCTATGCACCTCAGCACAATTTATTTCCAGAGAAAACCCAAAGAAAAATATTTGACAAAATGTCCAAGATTTTCCTAAATTTGGAAAGTTATAAAAATGGAGGCTCCTGAACTGTGATTACTAGCACYATGGGGTTGCGGATTCGGGATGCCCAAAATACACATCTAAATGAAATACAGATGTCATGGGCCGTCTTCTGAAAAGGTAACACCCCACCACGTGTGGAAAACCTCTTGTTTATGTGCACAGAGAAGTGCCTGGGCGTGCAGGGCCTGTTCCACACGCGCAGCGAGCAACGTGCCTGTGGGAGGAGAGTGTGTCTATGGGAGCAGCAGGAATGAGGACAAACCTTCCTCTGGGCCAAACTGGGATGAAGGGGCAAACCCGTGAGCATCGCCGCTGCCTTGTGCAGTCTTGGTTGTGAGTCAGATTCCCATGCAAACGGAACCAACAGACTCATCTTTCCAGTACGGTCTGGATGTGGTATCATGTGTCTGTAGGTCTCAAGAGGGGTTCCCCAGATTTCAGCCACCTGCGGCTAAGATCTGCCATCAGTGCAACGTCATGAAACCAGAGCTGTTGGCAGCTGAGCTCCAAAACCCACCTTAGCCCCGCTCTGAATGCTGCAACCACCTGCACTGCACCAGGCACGTGGCCTTGGCTCTTGGTGCTCAGCCGTGGTGTCCTGGGGCCTGGTGGAGCTCCCAGCATCGCTCCATAGCCCACCGGACCCCCAGCCAGCCCTGGGAGGTGGCCTGGCCCCGGGATCCCTCTCTCTTTACTCAGCAGTTCTCAGCTCAGTCCTGGGTGGGCAGCCCTCTCATGGACACAGAATCCTGGGGCTCGAGTCAGGCGCGACCACAAGGGCTGCTCGCTTTGTTTGAAGCAGTTCGTGTGTCCTCCTGCTGCACCACCACCCTGACGCAGGCTCGGTCCCAAGCCACAACATGTGTGCCTGGCCTTGACCGGCGGGGCGGTTGGGGAAGGCCAGGTCTGGAAAAAAAGAAAACCAGTGCAAAAACAAAACCCAAACCCAAAGTGGTTTATTTTAGGATTTCCTGTCGGTGCATGTCTGCTGGAAACCCCGGAGCAAGGACAGGCTTTATTTTTGGCAGCGAGACCCCATTCGGAGCGAGACAAGGCCACAGTGGGAGCAGCGCTGCCCGTGGGCTGCTCTCGGGCTCTGTTTATTTTCATCAGGCTTTCGTCTTCTCGGGGCTGCTAAAGAGACCCTTGTCTTCCTCACGGGGAGGCCGAAGGCACTGTTCTGGTGCTGACTTTTCAACACCCCTGCGGAGGGTTTTATGGGCTGCAGTAATTAGCAGTAAGCGAGGCCGCCGCGTTTTCCTTAGCACATACCTCGCAGATGCTGTCATTTCCTGCCAGCCGCCGGCGCTGGGCAGCAGGTGGATGCTGCTGGSCTGGCCTACGTGCTGCCTCTGAACCCGGCTTTTCTTCGGCAGCGCTCTGAGAAAGGGTCTCTGCTCTGTAAGCGAAACACGAGAGGGTCTTGACGGGGCAAAAGTGACTGTCGAGGATGCCAGTGTAATGTTACTTGGAGTCCTCCTCCCTCTCTCCCTCCACCAGCAGTTATGTCAAGCAGTCTTGCAAGACACCCAGGGGCTCTTCTCCCTCGTGCGTTTGTGTTGCTTTTGCTGGGTCTAGGGCAAATCTCTTTTTTTTCAAGAGATTTTGGGAAGCAGCTGCTCCTTCAGGACACACCACGGGCATGGCGCTGGCCATTGTGTCGCTGCCCACCAGGTCCCTAGTGTTACTTGTGCACCTGTGACACAGGTGCAGGGGCTGACCAGGAGCAGCAGGGAGGCAGCRGAGCGCCCGATGTGCTTTGCTGCCCTCAGCTCTTCCAGCAGTGACCTCCTTGTCCCTTCCCTCCGCGCAGCACATCAACAATGACCACATCCACGGCGAGAAGAAGGAGTTTGTGTGCCGCTGGCAGGACTGCACGCGGGAGCAGAAGCCGTTCAAGGCGCAGTACATGCTGGTGGTGCACATGAGAAGACACACCGGGGAGAAGCCGCACAAGTGCACGGTGAGCTGGGCAGCACACGCAGAGCATCCCCCTTGGCGGGAGGGACACGGGGCATCAGTGGCCTCACGTGGGCGTTGAGACACAGGCTTTGAGCAGGGCTCTCTCTGGGTGCCTGCCCTGCTTCTAGTGTTTTAGTTACTTGCAGGTAGTTGAGGTTGTGCCCTGGTGAGACTGGAAGTAATTGAAGAAGAGGGTGGTTAACGGGATAGTGAGTGAAACTCTTGAGGAAACTGTTGAGAAACTGAGTTCAGCTCTGCCACAAAGATCCAGAGTGACTCAGGACAAGTTACTTAAGGTAAAAAAGGGAAACACACAGAGCATTTAGCTGCCTGAACCCAAGTAAGAAACCCAGAAACCCCTCACTGTGAGGACCGCATAGCCTTGGTGGTAATCTTGATTCCTCATCACCCATTACTCCTGCGTAGGGCTGCAGGTTTGGGGCGGCCGTGATTCAGCAACGCTGAGTGTACCCGTATGGGACTGCAGGTTTCCCTCTGCCACGTTCCTGGCCTTGTGCACAAGCCTCTTTCCGGCCTGGGGAGCTTGGCCAGCACCTCCTGCCTTTCCTCTTCCCGTGTGTACTTCAGCCCTTTTTCCTCCCTGGGGTCCAGCCTTGTCTCTTGATATCCTCTGCCCCCACCCTTCTCCTCCTGCCAGTTCTCCATACTTCCTCCACCGTGAAAATTACGCTGTTCCCTCCCCAGARTCTTGGGAATGAGTCTTTCTTTATGCTTGGCAGATGTCTGAGCCCTCCTCCGGTATCTTCCTCCTCTTCTGCTCCATTAGTCACTTCCAGCCCAGCTCACTCCCCGTTTCAGCCCCAGCCCCTGCTTACAAATATTATGATAAGTATGATTTTTCTTGCTGCATGACTCCCTTATCAATCTTCCAGCCCTGTGTTCATTTAATTTAGAGCATAAGCTCCCTGGGGCACAGGGCCATATCCTTTGTTTTAATCTTCTAAAGCACCCTGCCCCGTTTTAGCATGTTACCAATCTTCCATAAGAGTCTGAAGGAGTATTGATTGTCGGTGTGCCACGGCGGGAGCAGCAAGGGGAACGCTGGCCCTGCCCTTGCAGCACTGGAGGTGCRGGCTGCGGGAATCAGAAGGCAGCACAAGCCCCCTGCTCAAGTGAAAAGCAGCAGGGAACGCATCCGTTTGAGTGCTGAGCTGGAAAACACACTGCTCAATCCTGCCTCTCTCAAGTGCTCTCTGTTGTGCTGGCCTGGAGCGATGACAAGGCTACGGAGTTTGCAGTCTGAAGTCGTCCTCTGCCTGCTGGAGAGCGGCAGGCGCTCCGTGTTGCAGCAGCTCTGCCCAAGCTGAATATAGCCCGGGTTGCTGATTGCAGCAGTGCAGATGGTGCCCTGCTTTGCCAGAGCATTCCTGGGTCAGGGCTGCCAATGATTTTTCAAAGTGCCATTTGTTTCAGACAAGAAGTTTTGCGGTTCACGTAAAGCTACAGATGCAGCCCGGGGTCCGGTCAAGGATTGTTTCGGCAGATGACAGMCAGAGCTGCCCCTGGCATCATCACATCCACGCGTAACACCGAGAGCAGCCGCTTTGAACACGCGCAGGCTGCTCTGCTGAGAAGCCCTTGTTTGAAAAGGGGGCCTCAGTACTTCTGCTCTTGCTGACTGCATTTTTGTGTCAGTCTCCAGCACAACCAAAACGGACAAATGAGTGGCCTCGTGCTGAGTTCCCTTTGTTTTCCAGCAAGTGGAATGATGTATTTTAGTAACCATAAGCAACTCAAGTTATAAAAGACTGTGTGCACAGGCCAAGAGAAGAAGGGGATCTATTGTGCTACCTCAAAGTTGCAGCATGCTTTATGGGCCAAATGTGCTAATGCAAGTTGATTGAGGAAGAGGAGCCTAATTCATTGTACCCCACTGCACCTAGAGAAGGATTAGGCTGTTGAAGAATGTTCCCACTGTCCTTGAAGAGATCAGGGTGTTTCAAGAGGGCAGGACAAGTTTWCACTACACCATCCCTGTACCAGACTTTAAAGACAACCTTGAGCAACCCCTGCTCCTCCAGTTGGCCAACACAGCAGTTACGTGGGTTGTGTGATTAGCCTGTGCTCAGGTCCCCAGAGGAGAAATGTGTGAGAACTTAGGAAAGATTTATGTGTGCAGATGCTGACTTGTGGCATTGCAACTTCTTTAAAGGCAACAGGCCTTTCTTTGCGTAGGCAGCAGAGCCGTATAGTGAAGGCTCCACTGTTACCTCCTGCAGAAGTGGATTTAATAGATTTAATAAAGGAGGGATGGTTGGTCGGGTGGGTTTGCCTTGCTCCTTGCCAGTGCCAGCGGGAGCAGGGCTGCCTCCTGTGCCCGTGGAGTGCGAGGACACAGAAACAGCCCCTGTCCCGTCCAGCCACCTCTGCTCCAAGCGGCCAGACCCCACTGCCATGCGTGACCCAGCAGCTGCCCACAGTGGAGTCTCGTGCTGGTCTGTGGCCTGACCTGCCTTGCTGTGACACAGGATTTTTCCTTGGCCAAGATGCAAACACAGCGATGGAAAGTCCCGCCACAGTGGGACTGCAACTGCAGATATTTCAGTGCTTTCAGTAACGTACAAGACCTTGCAGCTCACATAACTGCTGAACTGTTGAAACGTAAGGTGCAGAGTGAGTGCAGCCTTAAGCCAGAATTTGAAAAGGAGCCTTGCTTTATGCTTTCGTTTTTTTAGAACTTCTTTCAGTATTTGTAAGTTCCCACTTAGTGAAAGAGCTTTTAAGGCAGTCTCCTTGTTTTGAGTGACTGGTGAAATCCTTCCATGCTACAGACAGGGCAGGTGCCGAGAGAAACCTCCACGCCAGCCAGAAGCTGAGGGTGGTAGGACTTACATCACCCCGAGTCTGACCATGTCTCCCGAGCTGCTCCTTCTCGTTGTGTGGGCAGCTGGTTTCCTTCCAGTGGGAAGGCTGCTGGTCTCTTGTGTCATCCAAAAATCCATCTGTCTTCAAGATTGAGAGTCTTGTTTTTAAAGCTGGTCATGTTAGGCAGCCTGACCACAGCATCCTCCAAGAGTAGACCCAAGTTGTAATTTGGGAAACTTCAAAAGCTTCCTACATTTCTGCTTGTGTTTCAGAAAATGGTCAGGTCTTTCCAGCTCTGAAGCTGGCGAAGTTGCAAGGCTGGTCAAACTGTCTTAGAAGCAGTTGGTTCTTTGGGAAAGAGAGGAAGGAGAGAGCTTCCATCTCTGAGTGTCTTAGCTGGAGATGCTGCAGATGGATGGCAGGAGGGGCAGGGAGGGTCCTGGGAGAAGGGAAGGGGTGCTCCTTCAGCCTTCAGCCTTGAAAAAAACACTCTCTTGATGAAACACCAGGCTGGGTACCCAACTGGAGCTCCACCTTAAATATGAGTCACTCCTAAGAATTTCAGCCTGCCTAAGGAAGGGAAGTTCTCTCAACAAAGTGGATGTTGTTCCCTAAAACACAAGCCCTTTAAATGGAAGGAAGAAAAATGAGAAACAGATGAGAATGGTTTAGGCAGGAGGGAAATCAAATTTTCTGGTTAATTAATCACTCCTCTTGTGCTTTTTTATTTTAGTTTGAGGGTTGCTCCAAAGCCTATTCTCGACTGGAGAACTTAAAGACACACCTGAGGTCCCACACTGGAGAAAAGCCCTACGTCTGTGAACATGAAGGCTGCAATAAAGCCTTTTCCAATGCCTCGGACAGAGCCAAGCACCAGAACAGGACACATTCCAATGAGGTAAGCCTGGGCTCCCCACAGCTCAATGGAGGGCCTTTTTTTTTTTTTAATTTTGCTGACAATAAACATGCACTTTACACACTGGACTCGTGTAAAAAGAAACCTACTGTAATGAGAGATTTTTCTTATATTTTAATGGGATTTATTTTGCTTGAGAGCCAGACCATATTAGCTTTATATTTATGAAAACCATGTTTGAAATCATAAACAGATGTTAAAGTATGCAAGCTTTCTAACGGGCTTTGGAAATTGAGTGAGCGCTTTCCAAATTTATAATTTTTAGTAGTGCAAATAGGATCACACATTTGTGCATTTGGCGCTTACTTCCACTGTGGCTCAGACTTGCAGGAGYGTAGGAGCTGCCCTGCATCCTGACACTGTGGAAGTAGGACTCCCTCCACCCTTTGATGTGCAATGATGGAGCACAATGCAATGCTTTGTTAACCTTGGCTAATTAAGACCCACTATTAGTAGTCGGGGAGCAGAGGAAATTGCCTTTATTGTAATGCATGTGATGGTCTGTTGCAATCAACCAGGGCCGAGGATTGAAATTTATATTACCACTAATTAGCTGACAGGGGAAGAAAAAACAACACTTCCAAGTTCTAATAATGTTTGCAGCCGTGAAGAATTCAGTCTGTAGCCTAATTTACAACAGTTAAATATAGACTATTGGAAAATGGAGCGCACTTGCCACGGATGACAGCTTTTTAAAGAGATGCTGTGTCTACAAAGGGCTTGTTGGGCATATTTCTATCTCTAGCAGAGTGTCAGTCACTGATAATCAGAGCTCAGAAGGCTTCCTAGGTTTCAMGTCACTTAGAATAAGGACTCAAAGCCTCAGATGCCCTTTTGTGCTATGGGTACCTAAAGGACCCAAGGAATGACTTTGATCCTAGTATCAATTGAAATTGTTTGGGTATGAGTCCAAATACTGGGAATATCCTTGGCCACTGGGCTGCTCTCAAGCCRGAGTACAGGTTAAAATTGACCAAGATCTGCATGGGAGCTGGGTAAATTGGGGTTCAGGGCTATACAGACCTTGAGGCTAGAAAGGACCAACATAACATATTGCTTCATCTCTCATCCACTAAGCAAACTATGATTAAAATAGCCAATGTTTGACTAAAACATCGTGTGTTCTTTATTAYGGTTTCTTCTCCAGAAAGGTAGGTTGTCTTAATTCACCCCCACCAGAGTTAAAGAAAAACAAAAAATGACTTTATGATATTAGAAATTATTTATTTCCAGCCYTGGATGCCTCCTCTGCTTTCATTCAGTATTGGATCCAGTGTGTCTAACTATTGCTGTGACAGTACAGTGATAAGTTGCTCTCCGTCTTCTCTCTCATTAGAAGAATCCACTGACGTATCCCAGTGCTGCCGYGCTTTTTCCTTGTCCTTGAATCAATTTTGTGTCTGTCTTCCAGTCCTAAGGATCCTGATGCAGATGGATCAAGACTTCCAGTACAATATTCAGTACAGGACACTGTATTAAAATTATCATCAAATAACATTTTCTCATCCTGAAGCCTACTTTGCCCCGTTTGAACATGCTGAAGCAGTGTGCTAGCTATTTTTTCACCATAGATCACTTGAGTTCTGATTCCTAGAGCTTTTCCAGGATCTCTCCTGGGGCAGGCTCAGCCTTGCCTTCTCTTGACATGGCCTGTGTCCCGTGTTCCTAGATGTGAAATGTTTTACTTGGCTGTATTATTAAATGCCCTTTCTTTGAATGAGTTTGGTTTACTAAGTGATCCAGATCAGGAGCTGCACCAAGTTGATGGCTCCTCCCTTCGTCCGAGCAGAGCTTGGACTCACTTGAAAGTCTGCTGCTTGTGCAAGAAGGTGAGGCTCTGGGGCAGAAACATCAAACTCCTCATCTGCTGTGGATGCTGATCTGATATCCTGGCATATCCCACAGGATATGCATCCCACAAAACAGAGACTCAGATAACAGATACAGATTTACCCTCTGTTGTTGCTTCCCCCAGAGAATGCCAAAGCCTTTTCAGGTGCAGAARCAGCATCACCTTTGGGGAGGCCTTCTACCAGGGTAGCTGAGCCTAACCCAGGGAAATATATGGCACTGAGGTCTGTGGGTCTGCATGTAGCAGCACTGGGGGTCATACATTTGACACTGTCTTGATGAGGAACCTACAGCTTGATGCTCAGCAGCAGATGACATCCCTCGTGGCAAAGCAGATTGCACTGGGCAGCAGGCCCAGGTGTGAGGGTCCAGCAACTAGCTGTGGCCATGACCTGTGGGTTACCAGTCTGCACTGAGACTTAGGCCCACAAAACCACACAGATGCAAAGCAGGGGGTTGTGGCTGTGAATATTTCCTATTACCCTTTGGTAACTCCTTTGTGGCTCCTAACTCCCTACTAAATATTTCCCTCCACATGCAGTGTTTACCTGGGATATACCACAGTTTCAGAGCCAGTCACCCTTGTCTAGGTCACCTTTTAATCCCAGGTTCCGCCTGTGTGTTTCCAACGTTATATGACAGGACACAGTTATTTGTTCCAGTGCTGAAGTTTGCATGGCAGCGTAGCTTTCGTTTGGTTGTTGACATGGCACGTGCACTGTTTCCTTTTGAACTTCCAGTGAGTGTTCACATTCCTTCGGGCAATACCCTGGGTGGTGATCCTGGAAAAGGGGCTTTCGTTCTCTGATTGCTCTCCAGCACAAACTCTGAAAAGAGTGGCCSAAGTCCATGGTCAGCCAGAGGACTGGAGTGCTTTGGAACTGAGTGCTGCTGGGTTCCYGGAGAGGTCTGCACTTCTCCTGCCCTAAAGAGCAGCATCACCATCTATGTATGGGAGGAGGAGGAAGGCATCTGAGATGGCTATGTTGGTGACTTCCCGAGAGCATCCGCTGTGTCAAGCATCAATATTTAATAACCCAGGGGTCATGTGAAGGCAGCCCAATGAAACAGCAGTTGTACTCGGTCCAGCTGCAGAAGGCCTGGCCTGATGAAGCAAAGGGTCCTCTAACGTACACCCAGTATGGAGGAGTGTCTTCAGTCCCAGCAGCAGTGGCCGTGTGTCCTTAATTGCTGATGTCTGAAAATCAGAAATAGACATTAGACCTAAAGAATCTTAAGAATCTTTTAAAATAGTCATTGAGCTGGCTAATGTAGATTTCTTTAGTGTGTGCAGAGGAGGTTCTGTTTTTTAGAGAAGGTTTTAATCACAGCAATGATATTTCTATAATGCCCCATCCAGAGTGTTGCATGAGCTTTATAAACAAACTRTTTTACTTGTGGTGCTTTAGTTTACCCAGCTTTAAAATGTATTAAATATTTACCTCAGGAGGGTGTTGTGCAGATTTAGTTTATTCAAGTGATGTGCCAAGATCAGCCAGGAAACATGTGAAACATGCTTTAGAATAAAGAACAGACTTTCAGAGTTTTTTTTATGTGATGATGTTGGCTTTTTGCAAAGAATATTTGCTGCTTTGTATTTTTTCACTCAAGCTTCTGGATGAAATTAGAAAACAGATAAAAAAATGAATAGGAGTTGTCATTTGGGTTTGCCTTCAAATGACATCTGTCTGTTTGGGGTTTTTTTTGTTTGTTTGTTCGTTTTGTTTTGTGGATCTCTTCCAGTGTGTTGGCAGAAAAATACTTAAAGTGCCTGTGAGGCTGAAAGCAGAACTTGTGATGAATTCAGGGCTTCCAGTGCAGCAGCACCATCTCCTACAACTGTGGTGCTAATGCACTTTGGAATTGGAAACTGGATAAAAATAAAAAAGAGAGAGGAAGTTAAAAGAAGAAAAGTATCTGCTAACTTCTGTTTTCAGCAGCATGGCTTCAGCTTTTTTATTTTTTTTCTCCTGTGGCCATCAATGATTCATGAATTTAGGACTAGAGTCCTATCGTCTGAAAAAAAAGCACCACATGCCTGTGGTTTGTTTTGCACAATAACRGATTTCAAGGTGACAGGTGCTGGAGCTGTGTGATAGATTGGGTAGGGTGAATCCAATCTGGCTTGGTTTCTCTGGRTTTCCACAACCAGAAGGCCTCAGTTATTTTCCCAGTGTAGACCCACCTTAGCAGAGAGAATGCGTTGTGGCCAGGACCCTACATCACCTCCCTTCCACCCGTAATCAGGAAACATTCCTGTGGCCACCAGAGCAAATACTTACATGGAAAAATGATATTAGGAAAATATTTCATGAATTCGTAGCTGTCTTTTAATTCAGCTACTGAAAACAAGTTGTTTAGCCAACGTCAAATGCCTGGCCAGATCTGTGTGGATCAGCAGCAGCCCCTATATCATATCTTAGAGATCTCCAACTTATAGAGCTCTGTGAAACAGATGCTGCACATGTCCCTGCTGCCAGCAGTCCTGGTCGTCGTAATCTTTTGGTCCATAAAATGTACCTGGAGAATTTGGATTTCTTCTAAAATTAAGACAAGTTTTGCTTGTATTGACAGAAACCCTATGTATGTAAGATCCCTGGCTGCACGAAGAGGTACACAGACCCCAGTTCCCTCAGGAAACACGTTAAGACTGTACACGGGCCCGATGCGCACGTCACGAAGAAGCAGCGCAACGACGTCCACCCGAGGCCACCTCCGCTCAAGGAGAATGGGGACAACGAGGCAAGCGCCAAGCAAAGCAGCAAGGCTTCAGAGGACAGCCCCGAGGCCAACAGCACCACAAGGAGCATGGAGGATTGCCTGCAAGTCAAAAACATAAAGACGGAAAATGCTGTGGTAAGCGCAGTTGCTCTTAGAAGTGGTGCAGGCCCAGGTTGCTCTGACACACCGGGRCCATGAGGTGTCTGCATGCTCTTTTCCTCTCTGTGCAGTTGCCCTTCACCTGCCAACACCCAAGAGTTTAAGCCCAAAGATGAGGATGAAGATCAGGGCAGAGTCCAAAATATTTTGCACCTTTCTTCCCAGCATGGCCACCCTCACAGTCCATAACGGTTACGTGATGCCTAGCATCAAGCTTGGCCTCCCTTGCTCTGTGTTATGAGTAAAGTATGACAGTATCACCAGTTATGGTGAGGTAAGCTCTGCCCTCCATGCTAGTTTAAATTGAACAGTAGCCATAGGACACAGGTTGATGAACTCATGTTGAAGGAGAAATCCTGGCATAAGATGTCCCTCTTCTTTTCCTCCTCCCTACCTTTTGGTACAACTATATTGTGCGCTGCCTGATGAACCTGATGGCAGGAAAAATAGTTGTTTTACTTTTGCTGGGTATTTTGAAGCAAATTTAGTTCCTCAGGCCTGACCACCATGCACAGGGTCACTGCATGACACCTAACCACCGGAAGAAACTGTACTGGGATGAGAGGGGGTAGATGTAGCCAGGAATGACCATGAGAGCTAGGACAGATACTCCTCTTTCTGTGGTTCACAGAATATAGGCCCGTGGTCAACCATGATTACGTTTTTACTTCCCCACAAGTTGCCACTTGCTCAGGCAGAGCGTGTTGCTCCTGGCCATGGCCATGGCTGCAGCACCGTGGTCAGCTGTGCTAACGGGGTGTGGATAGGCGATGGGCCCACACTCATTCAAGCCTGTTCCACTCCATCCAAGCATTCCGCTTGCTCCCTGGCACTCTGCAGTTGGTGGAGGAGATCAGACATTGCAACACAGAGGGGCATTTTTGTCTTTCAACATTTCTTTTCACTTTCGTATCCGAAGTTTTGGCCACCTGTGCCAGCTTGGTGTAGGGCAGCATAAGGGCCGTGTATGGCAAAAAAGACCCACAGCAGTGAACTAGGGGGTACATACAGTCCCCAGCCTTCTCACGGAGCTGAAAGCACTTTGAGCTCCAAAGTACGTATTTGCTTGATTTGCATCCAAGCTAAAATATTGTTATTCCAACCAAGTATCATGTCTTGGAGCTGAAAATATTTTCTAGAAAAGGCTGAGGGATGTGTTCTGGGACAAATTAGTAATGAGTGAAGTGTTTTGTTTAGGAAGGAGCTGAGTATCTTCACATCCAAAGTGACTAAGCAAACAGTTGTACCTTAATTAGGCTCTGTATTGGGTTAAAAAAAAAAGTGAAAACCATTAGATAGAATAATGTCTCTCCAGTGCTCTACCCCTAGTCCCTTCTTTCCCCCACAGACGTGCTCCCTACCCTATTTCTCCTGAAGGCATGGGCTTATATTCCTAGTACTCTGTGCTCTCAGATTTACAGCCATACTGTGTTGGTGACAGGGTCTGTGGGTCTGAATTTCTTCTCTACTGTCCCTGTCCAAAGCTCTTTGGAGCGTATGTGCAGTGAGTGAGAAGTTTCACTATCATCATCATCATCATCAAAGTATCTTCTTTTAACCCATATTTGAGTTTATTCCCAAACCCTTAGAGACCCATGGGAAGTCTAGGAGTTCCCATCTGGGCCCACAGAGGGGGATGGCAAGGGAAACTGGGGTATCARAGGAGGAAATGTTTGTATTTTGTGTGTGTGTGTGCACTCTCCTTTTCATTCTTTTACTAACATGATCCCTTCTGTTAAAGTTGTCTTTGTTCTAACAACCTGTTCTTTATTCCCACTTACCTTCCCTTACTCTACCTTCCTAAGGACAGTCGGTACTAAGGTGAGCAAAGAAATACTTTGTATTAAAACTCCTGTCTAAGAGCACGATCTCCCCCAGACCCSCTGTCTGCAGCAACCACGGTGGCAGGGGGCCGAGGTGGACAGAGCAACGGGGAAGGGCAGGGGATATTTGCTGGTGCATAGAAAGGAGGAGGACACAGTGCCTCAGGATTCCCGTTATTGCATCGCTCCTGGTATTACGACTTGCCATTAAATCCTGGGATTGCAATCTCTGTCATCCTGATTGAAGGGCTATGAAGCCATTAGAGGCAGTCAGTGCTGCCCATTAGGGCTGTTACTGAGCAAAGCAAAGCACTCCATCACCTTGCCCTCCCACCTTGGCCTGGGGCAGAGTGTGTTGCTTTTCAGCACTCCCAYTTGCTGTCAGGTGCTGGAGCATGGGCCCCGAGCAGAGAACCCAAGCATCCCATCTGGTGGCAGCAATTGCTACCTCAGAGCAAGTTCAGGCCATTTAGTGTCTGCAGCAAATAACCTCCTCAGTGTGAAATGCAATTCCAATGTAAATAAAATAAATATTTATGGTGCTTATCTGCCTTATCTGCAAGTGGGAGTTTGCAAACACTGAACCAGGTTTTATCTGGTTATGAAGTTTGTCAGCTAGTCTAATTATACGTTAGGATAGTTTAAAGACAGAAATATGTTGTGTCTGAAATATTAGGCCTTGATCCCGTGTTAGATAAACCAGTGCTTGCTATGACATACCTTGCACAACCAGGTAACATGCTGCTTTTCTTTGAGAAGCATCTGTGCTTAAGCTTTTGGAGGAGGAACTTTTGGTTTCTCTTAAGTCATCCAGTCGAGCACACCATATTTTCCAAGCTGAGAGGTGAGGGACTGCAGACGTGTGTGCTCTTGAACACAGTCAAGAACTGCTTGTTCAGGTAGCTGAAATCAGCACTACATCTCTGGCACGAAGCTTGAGCTGGTGCAGGCCCTACTTGAGCACATTAGTCGTCRTTGCAGTAGAAGCAAGGTCTGAAAACACATTTGGATTTGTAAGATATGAAACAGAGAGGCTGTGTCATCATCCCCTGCTCTACCACCTCTAGTCCTGGTGGACGCTGAACTGCCCTAAGTCCCCAGGGAAGGTGCTCCTGCCCTCTGGAAAAGCTTCTGGGGCAGAGAAGGGTAATAAGAGCAGGGAACGGTTCGGTGCAGCCAGATAATGTGGATGTCAGGTCCTGTTTTTTCTCCATTGCTGTTTCCACTGCTCATCTCCATTTTGTCCTTCCCCAAGATGTGTCAGTCCAGTCCTGGCGGCCAGTCGTCGTGCAGCAGTGAACCGTCACCCCTCGGCAGCACCAACAACAATGACAGTGGAGTAGAAATGAACATGCAGAGCGGGGGAAGTCTGGGAGATCTGACAGCRCTGGATGACAACGCCCCTGTTGTGGACTCAACGGTCTCATCTGGTAATTCGACATTCAGCCTGCAGCTAAGGAAACACATGACGACGATGCAACGACTTGAACAGCTCAAGAAAGAGAAGCTCAAGACAGTTAAGGATTCCTGCTCATGGGTGAATCCAGCTCCACAAGCCAGAAACACCAAGCTGCCTCCCATCTCAGGAAACGGTAAGTTTTGGGCTTGGTCCTTGCAGGAGCATGCCAGGTCTGGACTCTGGTCTCATAGCCAGGAGTCTACCCTGCAGGAAGATCATTTCCTGTTGCCTCTGAGCCATTCCTTGCTATATAGAGACATCAGGAAAAATGGAGGAATTAGATGTGAGCTCAGCCATTTGATGTTTTATGCAGCAGAAACCTAGATGCTCAGGGCAGTAGAGCTATGAAGAGAGACAGATGTGGGTCTCTCTCTTGTTCCCAGGAGTGTCCATCACCCAACCCCAGGTGTCCTCACCATTTTGATAGCACAATCAGAGCATTCACAAGACTGCTGTGATTTATTCCAGCAGTAACATTGCCCCAAGGGCTAATGCACCTCTGAGGCAATTGCCAGAGCATAGCAGCAGTCCAGCCAGTCTGCCCTGGATGCTTGGACAGGTCTTCTGACACTGTGAGTGCTCTGGGTATTTGCCTCCAGCTTCATATGTCAGCTTTGCACTGGCTGGGGATTCCCGGCGTTGCCATCTTTACGTTCCCTTTGTGCTCTTCTCACTTTGCCAAGAAGTCACAAGGGTTACACTAACCTATGTTTAGGATGTCAGAGCATCTTGGTCTGCTCTGGGAAGAGCTCTTGAGTTTCAACCTCAGGCCTCTCCATCTCTTGTCCCTGAATATTGTGCATCTGTCCCAGTGAACAGCCGTGGTTGTAGCTACGTGTTGTCCTTGCAGTGTTGTTCACACCAGGCCCACTTTTTCCCYGCCAAGAGAAGCCCGTAGAGATGCGCTTCCTTAGTGTCTGAGCATCAATAGGGTGCACATTACAAAGACCCTGCACCTCCTGTCCTCTTAGTCCAGCCTTCTTGTTCTTTGAGCGTGATTACAGAGATAGAGATGAAAGTTTGAATTCACTGTCAATAAATGAAATCCAGTATTGTTCCTGCAAAATATTTAGGGGTGGGCTTCTGTGTCTGTATTTCAGCACCAAGAACATGACCCAGTGGCATTCCTTAGCTAACTAGATCTTTTCCTTCCCCACCAACTCTCAGGCTCTATTCTAGAGAACAGCAGTGGTTCTTCTGCTGCGCTGCCTAATCCACGAATAATGGAGCTGTCTGTCAATGACGTTACGATGCTGAACCAGCTCAACGAGCGCCGTGACAGCACAACGAGCACCGTCAGCTCTGCCTACACCGTGAGCCGCAGATCCTCGGGGATTTCCCCTTACTTCTCCAGCCGCCGCTCCAGCGAAGCTTCCCAGCTCGGGCACCGTCCCAACAACACAAGTTCTGCCGACTCCTACGACCCCATCTCGACGGACGCCTCGCGGCGCTCCAGYGAGGCCAGCCAGTGCAGCGGGATGCCGGGGCTGCTGAACCTCACGCCGGCTCAGCACTACAGGCTGAAAGCCAAGTATGCCGCTGCCACGGGGGGCCCTCCTCCAACTCCCCTGCCAAACATGGAGAGGATGACTCTGAAGAACAGGATCTCGCTTATGGATGGACCAGAGCCCACCTTGCCTTCCCTTCGCCTCCCGCCGGGGCCCCGGCGTTGCAGCGACGGCAACTCCTATGGCTACACGTCAGCCACAGCGTTTCCCCACGAGGTGCCAGGCAACTGCACGAGACGGGCGAGTGACCCAGTGAGGAGACCTGCTGGAGACCCTCAGGCCCTCCCCAAAGTTCATCGTTTCAACAGCACCAACAGCATGAACCCCTTCCATCCTCCTCACCCCATGGACAGGAGGAATTTCAACCTGCAGAACTACGCGCGCTCGGATGGGAGCGTCCCCCGGCACGTCTACTCCCCCCGGCCGCAGAGCATCAGTGAAAACATCCCAATGGAGGCCATGTCCAGGGAGGCGGAGGGCAACATGGGAGACGATGACATTATGCTGCCAGACGATGTGGTGCAGTACCTCAATTCCCAGAGCAATGGGACTGCAGCCGAGAGCACTTCCATGGGGTACAGCAGCGAGATGCAGAACTTCCAAGGAAATGGGAAACTGCAGCCCCCAGCCTTGCCCAGCCAGCGCAGGATGGCCGTGGCCGAGGCAAACATGAGTCACTTGGGTCCGATGATGGCAGAGTGTCCCATGAGCTTTGATGCTGCCTCAGACATGAGTAAAAACAACATGCCCGTCCAGTGGAATGAAGTCAGCTCAGGCACGGTTGATATGATGTCCAGTCAGTCAAAACAGCAGTTTTCGCAAGGAAACTTAGCTGTGGTCCAGCAGAAGCAGAACTTTGGTCAGTACCAGAATTACAACCAGCAGCAGATGCAGCTGACGGAGAACAGCATGAATGTAACACAGCAGAACTATATGCAAAGAAACATGGGCATGGATGGGCAGAGGCTAAACTGCATGCAGCGKCAGCAGCTGATGAACCTTGGCCCCGCTATGAACCCTGATCTGGGCTCACACGGKGGGTACAACCAGCCTCACCCGATGCTGAGCCCTGGTGTGATGAGCAGCAATCCAAATCAGATGTCTCCTTCTTGTAGCAGCATGGCAGTGAAGTCCAGTCCTCATGTCCACCCTCAGCAAATGGACATGGCAGCTGACCCCTCTTTAATGGTCAGCAGCAACAGCGAGCGYGCGCTGCTGAATCAGGCCATGCACGAGCAGAGCCAGCAGAGCTACTCCTCGCAGGCCGCCCACCTGAGCTTCCCCATGGCGCAGGAGGTGTTTCACCAGCCCGTGATGCCCTCAAGCCAGCCCGGCTTCGAGCCTCAGCAGAGCGCGGCGGCGCCGCAGGCCTTCGCGCCGGGCCTGGTGCAGCCTCGGCCGCCGCCGGAGCCGAGCCCGGCGGGCAGGGCCCGCGGCGCGCGCGCCCTGCAGCACCTGGCCTACGTGAGGACTCCGCACGGCGCCGGCACCGGCCAGGAGGCGGCCCAGGCTGCGCCGAGGCGGCCCGGCGACGTGCTGCCGGCCGCAGGCCCGCCGGGCGCCGATGGCGCGAGGGACGGCAGCCTCATGTACTACTACGGGCAGATCCACATGTACGAGCAGGGCRGCGGCTTCGAGGGCCCCGCGGACTGCAGAGCGAGGCCGCAGTGCGCGCTGAGCGGCAAGCCGGCCACCCTGCCCTCCCCGGGCGCCAACCAGGTGTCCAGCACGGTGGACTCGCAAGGGCTCGAGCCGCCCCAGATCGATTTCGATGCCATCATGGACGATGGGGACCATTCGAGCCTCATGTCGGGCACCCTGAGCCCCAGCATCCTGCAGAACCTCTCCCAGAACTCCTCTCGCCTGACGACTCCACGAAACTCTCTGACGCTGCCCGCCATCCCCGCGGGCATCAGCAACATGGCCATAGGCGACATGAGCTCCATGCTCACCACGCTGGCGGAAGAGAGCAAATTTCTCAACATGATGTCCTAACGGTCGAGCACAAGGGCTCAGCGCTATCCAAGGGGCTCTCTGTGAAGCAGTTTTATGAATGTGCTTTCTAAAAACAACCTGTTTCAATAGAGTAGGTTTTTTTTTTATATAAGTATTAAATACGTTAAAGGGATTCAAAGTGAAAATAATTAAAAACAAGTCTCTGTACAGAGTTATGTAAACTGTACCCAGGCAGGCCAGCACCGCAAGGGTGCCCCTCTGGTCTTGTTCTTGGCTTGGTTTCCCAGAGCACTGAATGGTATCACCGCCAAGCGAGGAGACTGCATGAGAGTGGTTAGAGATGAAACCCGCCCTCCCTGGCACCCTGTAAATAGCACTTGCCATCGTTTCCCATTAGCTGTGTTTGCAAAAATTCCATTTTCAACCCACCCCAGAAAGAAACGGGAGGATGTGGTTTTGTTCAGAATAAAAGCCATACTGTGTATTCTGCTCTGATGAGAGTAGTGTTTAGTTACGTCTCCAAACAAGCCCTCTGCCAGCAGTATTGTTTTATACAGTAAATACCTTTGTACCTTGCAAAGAGCATTGATTCCAAGCGGCTTCTCAGCAAAGTGCCTTACCATGCTTTAGTGTTAAGTAGCCAAGGCCTCTCTTCCTTTAAAATCAAGTATAGTGTATTGCCAGAAGCGTATATAAAATGTACATTTATAAAAACATAGTGGTGTTTTTGAGAAAACATTGGAAAGACACATTGATGAGACACATGAAAGGTGAGTGCACACTTTGATCAGATGTGTTTACAACGTGGTTTATATCAAGTGCAGAGTGGAGCAGAGCCTGGGAACAGCAATCACTGGGAAAAAAAMCCCCTGTGGCAGGAAGGCTCCAGCCTGCAAAGACGGATCCACACGCATAACTTTGCACCCTCTGCGCAGCAGCGTCGCGTGTAGTGACTTTCTGCTGGGGCTCTGGATGCCTTTATAATGTCAGCTTCCTCAAGCGAGCATTACCATATCCCTGCGCTGCTTTGCAACATCCGCGCCTTCTTTTGAGCTTTCCTTCCTAAGATCCGTACCAAAGGGATCGTGATGAAGAGAGTTTTRTGATCGTTTCTGCCCTGTCTGCACYGTAGCACGGTAGCGGGAGCTTATTTGTCTAGCAAGGGTTCGTCTGTGTAACACACTCCGTGATTATCTGTTTTCAGCCCAGGTCCACCTGGCACTGACATCAGTCCTAGCTGCGTTATTTATTCTACTGTTGTTAAGACTACAGGGTAGGAGTTGGGGAGGGTAGAGGCCTTGCTGAACAACGCAATTCTCTTCATCCTGGTATCATGGCATTAAATTATTTGTGCCCCATATGTTCCATAGCTGGGGACAAAGGTGACTTCCCCCCAGGATGGACAGGTTCTCAGTTTGGCGATATCATGTGTGAGGGCTTAGTTCTCTCCTACCCCTTGGTCTTCTCCCTCTCATCCTGATTTCGGTTCTCGCAGGTGTCCCATCCTATTCGCTTGCCCAGCACACCRGGGAGCTCTGGGAAGTCGCTCTCTGTTGTCCCAAAGTCCCCGCTCTCCTCTTGCACAAGCTGATGTCCAGCTTTCTGCTCCCAGCGTGACCTGTGGCGGGCACGAGAACGCCACGTGTTACCCCAGCACCATCGGGCACCCCGCAGGCTGTGCACGACAGCCGGCTGGGAGGACCCTGCYCCCCGTGGCCCCGATGTCCCGCTCGTGCATCCTGCCGTCTGCCCCATCCTCATCCCAACAAAAATGGCTCTCGCCCCAGCTCATCTCCCTTCTCGGCCCCTGTGACGCCCTGGCTGCACGAGGACAGTAAAGCAAAGCGGGGGGTCTGGCTGTTCGTTTGTGTCTCGTGTGAAAGGTGTGTTTAAAGGGATTGTTTTATAGTCCACTGTATATATTGTCCTGCAGTTACTGACCTTGCCCTTGCTTTGCATTTATGAAAAGAGGGCAATACGTATTTTAGGACTTTGTTTGTTGTCCTGGATGCTCAGAGTGCAATTGGGCATCCCTCGTATGGAGATGGATCAGGCCTTCACACGTCCTTTGACTGCTCGTCTGGTTCTTTCAACAGCTGTGTAGGGCAGTGGTGGCTCTCGAGTCCTTCTTCACAGATATCTCATTAGACAAAAGCAAAACCAAATCTCCAATGACTTGAGGTTTCTCAGATTTCCAGTGGTGGTCTTCCTTCATTTACTGAAATAGTATTATAATAACCATTCCAGCACTGTATATATTATGTATAGAAGACATCAATACTAAAAGTACTGTAGGTGAATTGTTCTGTCAGATTTGTATCTTAAGAACATTTTTAGCTGTTTTCTACATCATAAGACCGGAGGTAACATGCTGAACCTGTATATAAACTTTTTGTACATTAAAAAGTAATTTTTTTCATAATTCCTTGTGCCTGTCGTTATTGGCTTCATTAGGAATGGTTGTTGTTATTGGTTGTTCGTTCCTGCATCAACACCCTCGGACTCCTGCCAAGCTTAGGAGCTGCTGTTGTGGAGGTGGATGGTCCTCACGTGAGATGGCCCTGCAGGGAGGAGCGTCCAGTCAGTGATGAGGTGGTGGGTGCACCAAGACCGTGATGCCATTGAGTGACCACGAGTCTATCTCTGCTACCCACAKAGCGTTTGATGGCCTTGCTTCAGCAGAGTTTGAAGATGGATGTTATGGTGCCAGAGATGCGGCACAGGAGAAGGTCTCGAAGGAAGAGGAGGAGCAATCTGGCAAAGTACAAGATTCCTGGCAAAATAGCTCTTTAGCTAGCTTGAGTGGTGGCCAAAAGGAGATAGAAGTAGGACAGAGCAGCAAAGATGTGACGGGTTTTGGAGCAGGGGAAAACAAATCTGCCCATTGTTGTCTTCATAGGAAATGATGATGCAGCGAGCAACAGGYACCTCAGTTGTGATCCAGCTAGAACCAAGGACAGATCTTCAGTGAGGAAGATTTCACTTGGCTGAAGCAAGAATTAGCTCAGCCAGCCAAGAGACTGACTTTCAGCTTGGTTTCGTAGATGTGGGTTGACCTGGATGCAGCTAAACGTTATGGAAGGGTTGGGAAGTTGTTCATAAATGATAATTATGGACAGAGAAATGAATTTGGAATGGAGTCAACCACTGAGCCTAGCCAATGGCTGTAGTACTTGGTGCARATAAACCAACTGTTTCACACAGAAGTGCCCATGGGGATTGAGCTTGTTGTCCTCCCTGGACAGGTGGACAACCTCACCCTGCTGAGGTGATTGGTAGGATGGGGTAGGCTTGGGATAATCCTCACCCTGTTTTYGGGATTGCCTCATAACAGTTGTCCTGAGACAGAGTTAGTCTTGCCTGTTTTAGACTCGCAAGGATCAGGGTAGATGGTCCTGTGTACAGTGTCTGCCACCCTCTTCATGGACCGCAGGGAGATCTTACCCAGCTCCACCTGGGTGTCTTCTCCTGCAGGGTGAAATGAATCCCGTGCTCCTGTGAAACTCTTGCAGTGACCCAGTCGCCCTCAGCACAGGCTGAGGCTGAGGCAGTGGACAAGCAGTTGATTGCTATGTTAATGATCCTCTTAGTCTGCAAATCCGTTGGATAAATATCACACCCTTCTGAACTGTCCAAGAACTACAGACATCCCATTCAAAGATGAAGTGATATTATGAAAAGGAAATTGTTCAGAGCTCTTCTATTGACTAAAGGCTTTGGAGCCTCAGATCAGCCCCTACTGCTTTTCTACTTGGAACACTTAATGTGAGTGTCTAATCTAGATCAAATGCTGCTTCTAGCCGCTATTTCCCTTCAGAGCTTGATGAGGGCACACCTCTGCCTCTGTGAGAAGGTTTCTGTGTCTTCAGCTGGACAAGCATTTCCTGGGAGCTTCTCTGGGCTCAGCTACCAGCGCACACGTTCTTGCTGCTCGACCAGCCAGGAATGAACAGGGATTGAAAGGCTCGTTACTTCTATCTGTAAGCAGGTAATAACCCTCTGGCAGAAAATGTTCCTTRCAGGCCAGAGCTTTGGCATTCAGCTAGCTGTGACAGCTTCGTAGTATTCCCTTAACCCTTTTTAATCAACTAATAAGCCTATGGAAATAAACGATCCTAACAGGGCTGATTCTGACTTGTTGGTGAGCATTACCTTGCTTTGCTCTGAAAACAGGGGGAGCATCTGAGGAATAAGATCCACTGTGGGCAAGACCATCCCAGCTCCCTGGAATTGCACTAGTATTTAAGGTTTTCCTGGAGGGGAGAAAAAGCCCATAAAAGCTACTGTTGCCGGATCTTATTGCACTTACTGAGTAGAGAGTCGTTCCAATGGCTCTTTATTGCCGTGGTCTCAGTAGGGATGACATAGGGGCCCTTGTTCTTTATGAGCTGTTGGATCTACTTGGAAGAGCATACGTGTTGTAAATAAATGGTGTGCTTTATATTATTGGAAGGACAATTTATGACCAGCCAAGGCCTCTTGCAGACAGCTATTTAACTTGTAAGTAAAATGACCTAACACTTAAGAAATTTAGAAGCTACAAAACAACCTATGTTGTGGCCAGTGTAGTTATTTCTCCCTCATGATTTATGCTCCATGTAAAACTTGAAATAGCTTTTTTAAATATGTTTGCTCTAAAAATATTTTTTWAAAAAATAAAAAGAATGGAGTGATGCTTTCGTGCACGCCGGAGGCTTGTGGCTCCTGCAGCTTCCTCCGATGGCACTARTATCTGTGATTCAGTAGGCTGATCCCCTCCCCTCCCTGCTCTCATTTTCTGCACACTGGCTTGCCAGTCAGGTGCCCCTTGTCGGGGCACACGGTGCCCTGCCTGCTCTCRGCTTTCAAACAAGAGCCGCACTTGCTGCAAATGTCTCCCTCATTATCAACGGTTTAACCCAAAGCAGAGTCTGTGGTGGCTCTTTCCAAGGGCTGGGAGGACACGTCCCTCCATCAGAGGTGCCACTGTGCAGTCCCTGGGCTCTGCTTGGTGCCAGCCTGCAGGACACCCACGGTGAAATGCCTGGGGAGGCAGATCCTGCAGCGGGAACCACGAGGG